ATGAATTTTTTTTACACTTATTGCTTATATTTCTAAAATTTTCATCATCCCAACTTTGTCTGTCAGACATCTAAATTTAGTCTGGCACTGGCTCTCCTAATTATAAAAGTTTTAATTCACAAACCTTGTGTGCATTAAAGTATATCATTGGGCAACTATCCCCACGCAAACCTTTTTGCTTTTTGAAATGTCATTAATCTTTAAAGCTTCTTGACCTAACATAGAATTTTAGTGTAACTGTAAGGGTGAAAGTGGCAACTGCATAATCTCCAAAATAGTTTTATCTTGAGAACTGTTATGAACTGTTGATTTTTGTTTTTTCTCAAGACTAATAAACCTTTACTAAACAGTGCAATTTTGAAGGTTGCAAGAAAGCCTTTAAGAAACACCAGCAGCTGAAAATCCACCAGTGCCAGCATACCAGGGAGCCACCGTTCAGGTGGGTGCTGTGCATGGCTAATGTTCTGAAACGCTTGGTGTGATGAAGACCGAGACACAGAGGGTGGTGCAGGTGTTCTGAAGCCTTTTCCCAACCTCCCCTCTTCTGCAAATAGTGTGTATTGTCTTTGCCCATTTGTATGGCGTTTGAAAAGTTAAATTTTGATTTTGTTTCTGTAAAAGAAATACTTAACATGTTTCAGAATAATTTGTGAGGTTATTACAGTTGTGGTAAAGCTTAAAGGGAAGGCTGAAGAACGACTGTCAAGTAGAGCCTGTTCAGTTATCTGAAATGCCAGTATAAAGATGAGTTACTCTTCGGTAGAACCTAACAGAATTAACCAGGCTCAGCCTGCAGTCAGAAAAGGACTTAGGACATGCAAGGATGGCTGGACACCTTGGAATAGAGTGTGAAGAGCACTTGGCTTGCAGAGGCTGCCCTCTCCTTCCATTCACTGCAGTGACAGTGCTGTCCTGGCCTGCAGGTCTGCAGATTATCTTTGTGCTCTGATGGCTTTAGCACTGAGTGGCAGCTGCTTTTTGCTGCTCACCTGAAGCTCCAGCCTCTGCTGGGGTGGTTCTTCAATCACACAGCCCTTGTACAGCATTGTTAGAGACGCAAGAGACAGCTCAGAATGCCCCGGGTTTCCTATGCCAAGTGGACAACTTCCTAAAGTGTTTGTGTAACAATGAAAGCAGAGTAATTATTAGGGTATAAAGATGAAAACAGTGTTTAATTTGGTCACATAAGCAAAAAAAGTAAAGTGCCTTCTTTCTCAAACCTCAGGGCTGGTCAGATAACTTCATTTTCACCTGTGATTAGGCCTACCTTATTTATTTATTTTGGGGGGGCATACCAGGGATCGAACTCAGGACCTTGCGCTTACAAGGCAGGCGGCAGAACCACTGAGCTAAATCCCCGGCCCCTACCTTTTAAATCTTGTATTTCTATGGCTGATTTTATTGTGGAAAGAAGCAAGATTTTGATAAGAGAATCAGGAGAAAGTACCATTTACCCTAAGTGGAGCTTTCTGAAGTGAACCAGCTAATATTTCATGTGTTGCTAACCCAGGTGTAGCCAGGAAGGATGTGGGAAGCACTTTGCCTCACCCAGCAGCCTGAAGCGACATGGGAAGGTCCACAAGGGTAAGTATGGATGGCCTTGTGCATCTCATGTTGAAAAACACTGACAATAGGGTGTGTTTAATTCGATTGATCGATTGTATGCATTTCTTTGACGCTTTGGTGCTTTCTAGCGTATTCCATGGCCATACTGGGGGACAGGCAAGAAGGATGCTGGTTTGCTCACTCAGCCTTGTTCTCGAGTCCAGAGAAGCAGTGCGGATGTCTGTCCTTCCAGTTGTCACTGCTGTGCAGACACAGGGCCACACTGTTCAGGCCCCGTGTCTGGTTGTGCTTTACCTTAGGATTGGTCTGTGCTTCTGCCAAGGCTTTGCCTTATGTTGTCTTTAACCTCTTCTGTTCATACCTGTGCCGTTCTTTTCCAAAGGGCCATTCGAAAGGCTTGGATAATTTGTAGTGTTCAGACACATGGCACTGTATCATAACAAAAAACACTTGATTCCATCAACTCTTGTATCTATTGTTTGTTTCCATAGGTGATTTTATTATCTCTACACCAATGTCCCTGGTCCTAGAATGTAGGATTTTTAATTTTTAACAAGAGATTAGTGAGGAAGAGTGCCAGGCAGCCACATTTGTTTGTTTAGTGTGGGTGGAACTCGGCCTGGCAGTTACATAATCCAATTCTGGTGCTTTACAGTGTCCTTTCTGGTCAGTATTTTTCTCTGGGGTCTGCGGATTTATTTTCTTCAATGCCTATACCCCACTCCTTTTCTGCTGTATGAAACTGGATGCAGGCTAGAGGTGGCCAAGGAGTGGGCGCTGTAAATTCTGAGGTTTGGTGTTGCTCTGCTGAGGGAAAAGAGGCCAGGGAACCCTTTTGCTGAGGGAAGAAAGAGGCAGGCCTCAGCAGGCATGGAAAAGGGACATAGACTAGGGGAAGGTGGGCTTAAAGCAGCTGGAGTCCACAGGCCACACACCATCCTTCCCGCCTGCTAGGGTAAAACCCTGACATGAAGTACCTTGCTGGACAGTTATGTGGTTTCACATCACATAAACCTTTCTTAGCTTATTCTCACCTCTTGAGTCCCACAGAACAGAATATTACTGGGAGACAGGACAAAGATTATGTAGACATATAAGATTCCATTCTAATTAATGGTCAGTGTTGACTCTAGAACAGGCAATGCACCAATAGTTTTTTGGGTTTTTTTTCAAACAGGCTATATATGTCAAAAGGGATGTTCTTTTGTGGCCAAAACATGGACAGAACTTCTGAAACACATGAGAGAAACCCATAAAGGTAAGGCAGGCATGAAAGGCATGGTATAAGTATTTTCCGCTGCAGAATTGAGGTAGCTCTTTCAGAGTGAAATAGTTAATGAGTGTGGTGAAGTAAGGGGTTTCCATTTTCTGTTTTCCCACGGCTGACAGGTGAGCAGAGTGGGGCCCAGCCTGAGCTCATGCGGGCATGCATCTTAGCGCAGGAAGACTTTAGGAGTTCTGGGAGCAGTGATGCTCTGGGAATCCCGGCAAATGGTGCCTGTACTGGGGGACAAGGAAGGACACTCTGTGAACAGTTACTTCATGTTCTCCGTTGTCACACTGAGAAGCTCTCCTCCTTGAACTCAACAGCCAGAGTTTGGGAGTGATTTAAGAACTTAGGAGAACTTTGGCAAACCCCCAGTGAAAACGAGGGCCAAAGTTGCCTCAGAAATTTCTGATGTGTATCTAGTCGTAAGGCTTTGGACATTGAGTCTGTTACACACTGAATTTTTCCTGTGTGGTAATAACTTGGATAGTGGGTTAAATCTGTCTGTCTGCTTCCCCAGAGGAAATAATGTGTGAAGTATGCCAGAAAACATTTAAGCGCAAAGATTACCTTAAGCAGCACATGAAAACTCATGCTTCAGAAAGGGCTGTGTGTCGATGTCCAAGAGAAGGCTGTGGTCGAACCTACACAACTGTGTTCAATCTCCAGAGCCATATTCTCTCTTTCCATGAGGAACAGCGCCCATTTGTATGTGAACATGCTGGCTGTGGCAAAACGTTTGCCATGAAAGTAAGTGCCCCCACCTGCCCCATGCAGTCCTGCTGCTCCAGGGGGCTTCCTATATGAGCAGGGCCAATGCGTGTCTCTCATTCTTCCTGCAGCTGGGGTGCTTCTTCACTCATGCCTGCAGCCTACAGGCCTGCTGGGACCAGTGGTTCTTAAAGTGTACCCTGAGCCACTAGAAATGCAGATACGCAGGCTCTACTGGGTCAGAAGCCCTGCCCTGGGTGGGCCCAGAACTCTTGTTTTAACAAGTGCTGGGTGGTAGGGCCAGTGGCTTTGATATCTACACTTGTTACTCGGAGGGTGTGCCGGTACTGTGGGCGTCCTTTTAGACCTGGGAGAATGAGCATTTGGGAGATTTGGCCTAGACATTCAGGGGCTCCGGCCTAGGTCTCAGCACAGTTCACAGGGTCAGGGGAGAAGGTGACATGCAGTGGAGGGGCCTGTGCATTTGGCAGGCTCTCTTCTTGGTGTTCCATGGGTTCTTGCTGTGAATTGTCAGGGACTGGAGAGAGAACTGAGTGAAGCTCACTCAGGATAGGAAACACCTGGAGCTGATGGCCGCACTTGTCAGCAAAGTCAGTGGGGACACCAGGCAGGTTTCCCACTGTGTTCAGGAATACTGTTTTGATCGGTTCAGTTAAAAGCACCCTCTTCAGCTTGGAAGAGCTCATTTACAACAGGCCTTTCCCTTAGGCTAGAACTAAGCGGCTGCTAGTGGTTGGGGTGGTATAAATTCCTAACACAGGTCCCTGGAGGAGGCACTGAAAGCTGCTAGGTCCAAGAGTTAAGAATTCTTTCCTAGGTTCTGGGGTCAGAGAGGGGTAGGAGCACTTAACAGAAGGAAGGCTGACAGTCTGTAACTCATGGAGGTTGCATGTTAATAGACACCCGTGTTGGGGTTTTTAACATACAGTATTTTTCTTTACTTTCACCTAGCAAAGTCTCACTAGGCATGCCATTGTGCACGATCCTGACAAGAAGAAAATAAAGCTCAAAGTAAGTTGAAACTGCTTAGTCCAGCTTTCATGTTAAAACCTCAGCTGTTTAAAGCCTGGTGCAGTCTGGAATAGGCTCACCTGCTTTACCCTGAATCTGCCCTCTGTCGAAGAGTAGCTCTCTGTAAAGGAGTGTTTCCTTGTCAGAATGTACAACTATTGTAAAAATCCAGATAAATTTGATTTTAAAGTGTGGCTGTCTGCCTTCCTTATTTCCAAAGGTAAAACCATCCTGTGGAAAACGGAGTTTGGCCTCGCGCCTCAGTGGATATATCCCTCCCAAAAAGAAACAAGAGCAGGACTCAGCTTTGCCTACAGATGGGGAGTTGGAGAGCTTCGCGGAAGATGGGTGCTTTCTGCAGTTGAAACACTCGCCCTCTGCTAGGCATCACCTGGCCTTGGAGAAGGACTACAGAACAGTGAGCTTAGTATAGCTCAGAAGCCTGTTTTTCTTTATTAAAATCATGAATGCACCACATCTGATTCCCTGCCATTTCCATTTTTTTTGTTCAAAGTGTCTGTTTTCTGGATTTGAGAGTCTGCATATTCCTTCTCTTTCTTGTTCAGATGACGAAGAACGCACATTAAAGCTCTTCCTCCTTTAACAGCCTGTGGTCTGGATAAGAAGGTGGCTACTCCAGGCATTGTTTGAAGTATTTCATGAAATATTTCCTCCTAAAAAAGGGAAACAGTCAAAGATTAACTAAATATCAGTGTCTCTGATACTTTCTGTTGTCAGTGCTCAAACATGGACAAAAAACAGCATCCAGGAATTGCTGCTGATTTAAGTGACAGGCTGATCAAGTCACATGTCTGGTAAAGTGACTGAAGTCTGTACAGTAACCCATCTAAACTTGAGTGTGCCCTCTGTCACAGCAGTGAGGAGCTGTGTTTGACCCTAGACTGCCCTCTCCCCCAAACAAGTACCAGGCACTAGGTTTGGGTATTGGCAAAGTATCTTCTTTATCCTGAAAACAGTTCAGTGCAATTCCCAATGCTGATGCTGATGCAGAATCACCTGAGGTGATTAAAAAAAAGAAAACAGACACCTTAGGCTCCAGAAATTCCTAATCAGCTGGGCTGTGCTCTAGGCCTGAATGAGTCTTAACACAGCCAGGGTTGAAGACCATTGCACTTCTGGCTGTGGTGGGTGGGTGATAAAGTCACCCAACTTAGAAGCAGAACACATAGCCAGAGAACTTCTGGAATTGTAAACTGACATCCTCTAGCAGACAGTTCAACAGCCTGCTGCTCATAAACACCTGAGACAGCCTAAAAGATGAATCTGAAGTTTTCAGTTTTCCTCTTCATAAGGTTAGATATTCTACAATTTGTACAATAGGATATAGCTTTTACATTGTCAGTGTTTTCATACAACAGGATATGCCATAGTGGAAGCACCTTGATACAGTATGCTTCATTTTGAAAACTAAATTGAGAAGTGATTTATCATTCCTGGGTAGTACAGTTACAAGTCATTTTTCTTTGTCTTTAATTTTTCCAGATTTCCTACTGTTGTAGTTTTGCATCAGAAAACCAAAAAGCAGGTGCTCAGGCTTGGTTTTACTTACTGTTTTATTTTCTGGCTCATCTGCATTTTTCCCCTTCTTTATGGTAATTTGAACCTGGTATTTTTTCTCAATCCAAAGCTGAATCTGTTTACTCTTTGTGTTCAAGTCATGTTGTCCAATATTTGAAGAAAAGGTCAGTTCCTTTGTCACGGTTGGTCCTGGTTAGAGACAGATTTGGTGCTAGGACTACGTGGGTGTCTCCTTTGAGACTGGATTCCCCACCTCAGAACATCTCCGGTTGCACAGGGGCCTTGATGGTCCTCTCACTTTCAGTGTCAGAACCCAGTAACTGCTTTTGTAAATGTGAGAGAGTCAGTTAAGTACCAAGCAAGGGTATTTTTTACCTGCCAAGCCAGGGTAAAGTTCAAGAGGGTTTTCGCATCGTACACAACAGAGAACTGTAAATCAAGAAGAAAAATCATCCAAGAAAAGTAAAGGAACATGAATAGGCAACTCAGGAAAAAAGCTTGAGTAGCTGAAGGAAATACATTAAAACAATAAGCAATGGTTTCCCATCATTAGCATGAAAAAAATCAGTGGGACAGTACCAAGGGTGGGTGAGAATGTACAGGAGGAGATTTTCACACTGCTGATGAGAGCAACTCGACTCATTTGGTTCACAGAACCTAGAGGATGCACAAGCATTCATGATAATGAAAAACTGGGAACAAGCCCAATGTCGTGAAAATGGGTTAACAAATTTGATACAGTCTTAGGATGAGATGTCACATGGTAATTACAGTAAATTAGCTACAGCTATTATATGTATAATGGATAGATCTTGAAACAATGGTGTGCCATTTATATCTTTTTACACACAATCTATACTGTTTATGAACGTATCTGTGTTGGCAGTTTAACAACATTGACGGGATGGGACCTACACAATCCATGAGAGTGAGCCGGGACTGCTGGGAAGGCAGGTTGGGACAGCAGAGAGGACTGGAAGGGACTTCATCCTTTCTCTAATATTTTATCGATCTTAAAGTTCAACCATGTTAACACGTGTCATTTTGGATGAGGGTAGTGTTTACATATTACCTTTCTTCTATATACTTTTAAATTTCCAAATCAAAAGGTTTTTTTGTGTGTGGCTTTTTTTTTCCTTTTTTTTGGTGGTAGTACCTGGGATTGAATCCAGAGCTTTCACACTGAGCTACATCCCCAGCCGTTTTTATTTTTTGAGACAGTCTCACTAAGTTGCCCAGGTTGGGTTTAAACTTGCCATTTTCCTGCTTCAGCCTACCAGAGTGCTAGGATTATGGATGCTCGCCACCATGCCTGGCAAAAAGTTTTTAACACCGCTTTGCTTTACCATAGCTCTTATCAGTAGGTCCTGAAGCCTCATCAGAACAAAGTAATTCTTTCAACACATTAGCCCTCCAAACTTCTCCAGTCTGTCCCCCTTTTTTTTAACATGTGACATAGTTTGATGTCCTTAATCCCAGCTAGTTGGTCTCTTCTGAATATTTGTTTTTTGTCAATATCCTTGTTGTATGTGGCATTACCAAAGAGCTGGCCTTGGTGGTACTCACCTGTAATCTCACCCTCCAGGAGGCTGAGGCAGGAGGATTGCAATTTTGAGCCCAGCCTGGGTAACTCAGCAAGACTCTGCCTCAAAATAAAAAAACAAAAGGGCTCAGAATGTAGCTCAGTGTGAAGGTTGTGGCTTCAATCCCGAGTACCACAAAAAACAAAAACTAAGCCAAATCATGTGCCTTTTCTCAAGGTATACAACTTCATGACAGCTGTGTGAGGACCAGTCTCCTGATTCCTGTCCCAGCACTTCCCACTGAGCAATCTTCTATAATGATCAGCACTTTTTAGGAGCCATGAGAAACTGACAACTTCACTTAATATCCATTCATGGCTTCCCCAAGGATTCACGGACCAGTGCCCAGGTAGGTGACCGGCCAAATATGCAAATGAGCCATTGTAACAAAATACCTGGGCATGAGAGGTGCTCTATAAATCCCTCCAGGGTATAATTCCAGCACTCTGGGAGGCTCAGGCCAGAAGACCGAAGGTGGAGGCACAGCCTGGACAATTTAACAAGAAAAATAAAGGACTGGGGATGCAGCTCTGAGATCTCCAGTGCCCTGAGAAACTTGAAACCACCTCTTCTGAATCTTACTTCATTCCACCCATCAGCTATTCTGCTTGCCATGACATCTGGATACACCACCACAGGACCAGGGAAGAAGAGTTGGTATCATTTTGGTTTGTCTTGTTTCTCATTTTACACAAGTTAAACTGAAGAGACAATGGAAACTATCAAGACAAATGAAGAAAATGAATGGAAATAAGCAAGGGATAAGGAAGGAAACACACTGGGAACACTGAGGAAGCCATGAATATTTTGAGTTTTCCAGTTTCTAGTCTCCCATTGTTCAAGAACCTTGGAACACATGGGAACTTACATGACTTGTTTGTAATACTAAAGGATCAGGGAGCTGACAGCAAAATACCCACCAGCTTTGGGTTTGGCCTTTTCCTGCTCCCTGAGTTTTAGGCGCTCCTGGTGGATCTGCATGCCCGTCATGAGCTGGTACTCTGGGGGCTCCACACTGGTGCTCCTCTGCACCAGCCTCAGGTCTCGCTCATCCATGAGTCGAATCACATCTGCCCGGTGCATGTTTCCCAAATCACTGCCCTTCTCGTCAAAGACTCGAATAATTCGAGCATGGATTTTCCTTCCAGTGTTAGTCAAAGTCCTATCATTTGGTTTCTTCTTCCTGCCATCCTGGGTGTCTTCAACAGCACTAAAACACTTTGCATGAAGTAAAGAGGTCAGCCTTGGGGCAGAAGCAGCCAGGGACAATGGTGCTGGCACTGTCTTTTGAACCATGTATTTACCAAAACATCTTCTAATACCCTTATTTTCAGTCTTTATGGTTTGCAGCATTAATTTCTTTAGAAGAAGAGCAGCCATCCTAAGACAGTAATAAGAAAGTTTGTTAAGATTCAATCATTTATTCCCATGGCTGGCTAAGTATAAGGCAGGGTACACATGAGGTTGTCACCTGCAGATATTGCAGAATTACTCCTCTCAGGACATGGAATTTACACCATTTACAGGAAGGCAGACTACTGGACAACCCTGGCCAGACTAAAGCATGGTGTTACTGTCCCTAGTAAAGAAGCTTATTAGAATGAACCAGCTTTGCAGTGTTTTGGTTTTCCACTTTTTTTTTCTCCTATACTTACTGTCTCATTTGACTGTTTTCCCCCTGGATCTTGTAGTACTAACTCTAAGAGCAAAGGTCATCCTGAGGGCTATGTATGAGGATGCAATACAAAAAGTGCCTGTTGATTCACATATACCAATTCCTAAGCCTCCGATGTGATTAACTGTGAATAATTCATTGGCACATGTGATGGTATGTAAAAGATGAGAGCACTATGACCAGAAGGATAACTCTCCAAGGAGGAAGCTGTCCCTAGAACAGTGGCTGCCAGAAGGGAATACCCTGACATAAATCAAGGTACCAACCTCAGAATCAACAAATATCATTAACCAGACGAGGCAAGCGTTACTAGCAAATGTTAACTAAGTATTAGGCTGTTATGATACTACTTTAGAGTACAAGATTGAATTTTAAACACTTCAAAATGATACTTAGAGGTTTTAATTGCTTCTCTATCATACCGTGTTTCTCTTTCCATTCACACATATTGTAAAGCCTAGAAATACAGGCTGAAGGAGACGACCCATTCATCTTATCTAGGACAGGCTGAGAAACATCCAAGAATCAGAAATCACCTAGAGGGGTAACTTGTGAAACTGACAGAGGATGGGAGGAGGTGGCTTAAGTGGCACTTCTCAAAGGCTAGTCCCTGGGCTGCCTGCGTGGGATTCACCCTCGGTGTTTAAAACTGGAAATTCCTTCTTGCCGGGGTAATGATCTCACTGGGCTGTACAATCCACTGCCCTACTGTTACTCACTCATGTTGATGAGTGATATGAAAACAATATGGCAAACTGAACAGAAAGTGATGGATATGCACATTCTCACTTCCCTCCTTAGCCAGCTTGATAGCACTTGACATTCACATTTAGAGCTCCAGTTCCCACTGTCTCCTAAACTTGTAGAGTCAACTGCCTAATCAACACCTCCACTTAGATGAGTAGCGGTCACCAAGTCAACACTTCCAAAATGCAATTCTTGACTTCAGAATGGCAACACACCCTGCTGGTTGCTCAGTCCAAAGACAACAGACACACCCTGACTCTTCTGTCAGCAGCTCTCCAGCAAGCCCTACTGTTCAGCCTGGAGAGTAAATCCAGGACCCAAATCTCCCCATCACCACTGCTGAGTCTTGCTCAGAAACCATCATCAAACTGCACCTGGATCACAGGAAGCGTCCTACTGGTCTCCCTGCTCCTGCCTTGGCCCCTGGAACTGGTCACCACGTAGTGCACAGTGATCCTTTCAAAATGTGTGTAAGGATGGGTGTACAGTGCATGCTAGAGGCCCTCAGTTTGATCCCCAGAACCAATAGGGGGAAAAAAATGTGTTGCTTTAACTATGTGGTTCATTCACTTTAGGTCTCTGCTCACGTGACCCATGTGGTGAAGGCTTTCCTGACCTCTCACACTCCCTCATTTTTACGTCTACTATCTGCCCTTTTAAAAAAACTCCACTGCATTTATCACTGTCATATTATACACTTACTTGCACATACACTCATAATCCTCCCTCACTGGAACACAAGTTTCATGAGAAAATGGATTTGTCCCTTCTGTTCACAGCTGTGGTTCCCAACACGAGACCTGAGCACCTGGCTCTGCACGTCCTTGTTGAGTGACATACAGGCCTAGGACACAGCTATGGAGGCATGGTGGTGCCTGCCAGCCCCTGACCCTGTGCCTTCTGATGTGCCCTTCCCATTAGCGTACACACACCAGCAAGCTACACTCTGTACATTTCTTTTGCTTTTTTTTTCATTATTCTTTAAAATGTTTTTGTGGCACTAGGGATTGAATCCAGGGCCTTCACACAGAGCTATATCCCCACCCCCTCCCCTTTTAAAAAATTTTTGAGACAGTGTCTCAATAAGTCATCACTAAATTGCCCAGGCTGGGCCCAAACTTTCAACCCTCCTGCCTCAGCCTCACAGACTGCTGGGATCACAGGTGTGTACCTGGCTATTTTTCATGACAATGGCTTTCCTGGGGTTCTGTGGCCAGATGTTTTTTCACAGTGAATGAAATAAGGTAATTCAGAGTATTGCCTGGTTGGGGACTCCAGCTGTAGCTGCTCCAACATGGGAGTGAACCGGATTTTAAAGAGCTGAGATACTTCCTATTGAATACATAGTAAGATATTTGTTGATGGAGGAAGCCTGTTTGTCAGCTTTCTATCACTGTTAACAAAAACCTGAGAGAATAGACATAAAGGTTTATTATTATTACTACTATTATTGTTTTTTTGAGATAGGGTCTTGCTATTTATTAGTTCAGGCTGGCCTTGAACTATGTAACCCAGGCTGGCCTCGAACTCACAGCAATCCTGTGATTGCTGGGATTACATACGTGTGCCACCACGGTTAGTTTTAAGATTTATTTTGAGGCTGGATGTGGTGGTGCAGGCCTGTAATCCTAGCACTCCAGAGGCTGAGGCAGGAGGATCACTGTGAGTTTGAGGCTAGCCTGACCTACATAGTGAGACCTTGTCTCCAAAATTTAAAAAAAGGTTTATTTCGGTTCATAGTTTTATTTGAAGGTTTCAGTCCATGATCTGCTGATCTTCTGGCACACTGCTTTTGCTTCTGGGGTAAGGTAGTGTATTATGGAGGGGGCACATGGCAGAGCAGAGCCAGGAAGAGATGGGTTCCACCACTCCTTTAGGGCTCCCCTCAATGACCACGGAGCCCCAGTAGGCCCCGCCTCTTACGCCTTCCTCACCTCCCAGTACCATCGAGTGGGGACCAGGGACCTCTGGAGCATGAACATGAAGGTCCAAACACAGCAGCCCCAAACCAAAAAAAGTGCAAAAATCTCAAGTGCTCGAAGACCGTTTTCTCATTTATCATCACCAAAATAGTAGCAGCTCAAACCCCACATTTCCCTATTCTCTGAGTACCAGACTGCTAGGTGCTAGGACTGTAAAGAATTTATACACCCGGCAAATTTCACATCAAAATCACAGTCTTGCTTCTTCCCAAAGTATCCAAAAGCAACAAGGACACAGAAGTTGTCACATGTAAAATTATATTCCTAATACAATTATTTAAATGTTAAGTATCTTTTCCCCTCCTAGCTTCATGGATGAAAGCCACTGTGTCCTATTCAACAAATTATCAACATATTAAAATAGAAAATATTTCAAAATGTAGGCTATTTTCCCAAACATTATTTAAGGAAAAAAAAAATGGACACATGAAAAAGATGAAAAAGAAATTTATGAAAACCCTGGTTTGGGCCGGGGATTTAGCTCAGTGGTTCCACCGCCTGCCTCGCAAGCTAAGGACCCAAGTTCAATCCCCAGTACCAAACAAACAAACAAACAAACAAACAAAAAAAACAACCCTGGTTATTTGATATAAAAGACAAAGTAATTTTCCCTAGTCTTTCTAATTATCACTATTTTTCACATGTATAATTTTTATACTTTTAATGGACTATTTAAGAAAAAAGATGTAGGATTTTTTTAAAGTTCTGAAAATACTTTCTAAAATGAGGAGTAAAGGAAAAGAGTAGAGAAATACTCAAGCTAAGCTTTGTCAAAGTCCTTTACCATTATTTAAATTTAACTTTAGATTCAAAATAGCTTTTAATATATTTTAACTTCTACAGTAGACAAAGCAGTACACTATAATTAAGCTTTAAGGCCAGCTTAATATTGGCTTTGAATAAGCAAAGCTGAAAACATGTTTCTTGGAAACAGGTCTTTGTACCTAAAAATATAAATACAAAGTTAAGAAAAAACTTGTAATGTTAGATTTGAATTGCAAATCACATAAATTTATAACTTCAGAATTTTACTAGGAAGGACTTCAAACGTGCACAGAAAGGCTAGCGTGATAAACAGCACATGCCCAAACTCACTGCATCTCCACCCCACCACCATCCATTACCTATTGCAAAGTAAAACCTAGGTCATCATGAAATTCTTCAGTATATATCTCTAAGAGGGGCTCTTTTATGTTCTCAATAATTACAACAGCATTATCTCAATTAAGAACCTTTTCTTTCTATTATCAGATATTTAGTTTTCAGAGTTCCCTGACAGTATTATAATTTTGTGCATTGATATTTGATTTATAGCTTGGCAGCATGAAGGGACTCCCACTGGCCAAATGTAGTATAATTTAAATGTTATGGACAAAAGACTAATTCATTTCAACACACTGAATATGCAAAAACCTAGGAGAATGATAATTTGCCACAACTGCACAGGACAAATACACCCTGATCCCTTACTCTGAAAACTGGTAAACTGATAATTAACTAAGAAGCGAGCACTTATCATAACTTTCTAAGAAGAAATGTACTCATCCCCTATTGATGAGGAAAAGCTCTTCTTTAGAGGAGAAAGGCAGCTAATAAATGAAGAAGAAATGTAATTAGAAAATCACCATTCTGCCCCCACCATGAAATCACTGTTCAGGCAATAAAGATGCAAAAAGAAATCAATAGGTAGAACGCTGCTGTCAAAGGGTCACCTACAGACTAGTTCCAGATTGAAAAGATAAAAAGATCCTCTGCCAAGGAGACAGCTGGCCATCACCACTTTTGTAGATCTCACTTTCTATTTCCCGGGGTACCAGGCCAGATTTGGAGAGGAATAAATTAGAGGACACCATCTCACAAGTCTAGACTATGAGGACAAGACAACTGTCTTGGGGTCTTAAAAAAGGGCAACATAACTGCGAATAAGAAAGAAAGGTCAGGCTATACTTAAATAAAAAGACTGAGAGACATAATTATAAAATGCAATGTGTTTTTTTTAAAAAAAGCAGTTGAAGGGGCTGGGGATTTAGTTCAGTGTCACTGCACCTGCCTTGCAAGTGCAAGGTCCTGAGTTTGATCCCCGTACTGAAAAACAAACAAACAAAAAAACAGTTGAAAAGACATGTTAGGGATGCAGGAGGAAAATGTGAATATGGATGAAGTATTAGATACTGTTAGAGAAGTGCTGTTAATTTTTTAATGTGAAAATTAAAATTTTAGGAAATAAATGCTGAAATACTTAATATCATGACATCTGTCACTTAGCCTTTTTAAAAAATTTTTTTTTTGGAGACAAGGTCTCACTATGTAGTTCAGGCTGGCCTCAGACTCATGGCAATCTTCCTGCCTCAGCCTTCTGAGCCCTGGGATTATAGGCTGGGGTCACCACACTCAGCAGTATCTATCATTTTGAAATGGTTCAGCAGGAAATACAAAGATAGTGCAATTATGGCAACACTGACTGAATCTGGTTATAGGGTGTTGAGTTATTAGTCTTTTAACTTTTTGTATGTTTAAACTTTTTCTAATTAAAATTCTTTTTTCAATGAATCAACAACCCAGAAGGAGAAAAAAGTTCACCAGCCAAGTCAATATGTTTAACTGAGTCCTAAGTTCTGTATTTCACTGTAATTTAATAGAATGCATTGTGGTTTTATGCATCTTAAAAAAATACATTCCCTTCGTTAGTTTCAAGCCTATGTCTAAGTGACTTATAAACCAGGACTTCAAAAACTTAAAATTCTGAATTTTTTGTCACGTATATTGCCTTTATTTTTCTATCTAATTTTCACCAAGGCCTAAAAGTGACTTGCCACCTTAGTGGCACTTCAGATTAGTGACTAATCTGAAGCAGAACTCATTCATGTTTGCTAATTAACAGTTAAAAGTTAACATGTCAATATTAAAGCAATGTTTCTCAGAAACCAGAGGCCTGTCGACATCATCTGGGGATGCTTTCAGCACACACATTTCCTCTCTCCTCTCCTGTGAAGGACCAGTAGGATAGGAAAAAGCAAGACATTTTAGAGAATGAACAATAACACATAAGTGGGTGCAAGGGGAGGTTTACTTGGCATGTTTGAAAATAGTTACTTTCGAAGGTTGACATGAAATAGTAAGTCATAAATCATCTTTGATCCCTCGATCAGATCAATAGTAGGATGGATAGACCAGTTGTCTAAATAAAAATAAAGATGCTTATGTAGAACAATCATGACTAAACTGAGATGGCCATAATAGTCTAAAAGCCAAGTATCTCAAAGTCAATTACTTACAAAGCATTTTTTTATAGTATGATGTCCATTTCTGATCTGATGATTACTCAGACTTTATTGAAATCATGCTGCGTGCTGTGGGTCTGCTTTAAATTCAGTAGCTGACTCCACACTGAAGAAACATGTATTATCTTTTTTTTTTTTTTGGTACCAGAAATTGAACTCAGGGCCTCATGCTTGCCAGGCAGGTGCTGTGCCAATGAGCTACATCCCCGGCCCAACACATAATATCTTTTCATTTTTCCTTATTTACTTCAAATTAGATCAGTGAGAAACTCCAAGAAGAGGAATAAGGATGTGTCTTAGGCATCATCTACACTAACTCCTAGAAGGATGTACAAAAAAGTGAACTGTTATTACAAAGGCACATGATACAAAGTAATTTTAATGTCTGATACATACATTTAGTAAGAAATTGAAATATTAGGCCATAAAGTGAGAAATGATGAAAATGATGTCTCTTTAGAGGACTTCCTGTCCATGTAGCCTGCTTATTATGCATTGGCAACACAGTGTCAGTGATTTTATCCCATGAATTCTTCACGCAAGTCATGACTTCTTGCAGGCTGGGTTCACAAAATTTCCATTAAATCAAGTGTTAAAAACTTACGAGGCAGGAGTGGCAACAAAAATGATGACAATCAGGGCCGGGGATGTAGCTCAGTGGCACAGTGCCTGCCTGGCAAGCGCGAGGTCCTGATTTTGATCCCCATTACCCACCCCCTCCCCCCAAAATGATGACAATCAAGAATCATGGTCCACACAAAAGTGATGAAAAATTGCAGGCACTGAAATTCAGAAAATGTTTCTTTATCTCATATGAATGCATTAAGTACGTCTGATACAACATACAATGTACTGAATTTTGAAGATGTGTATTAGACACAGCCAAGTCTGTTTATCAAGCACACACATTATTTGTGTATTGTGTCTGTACTCCAATTGATCATTTAGTAGTTAAGCGTCAAATTCTTCTGTTTCCATAAGGCATTTATCTCTTTCCAAAGGTGCCTGCTTGGGTATTTATAAGTACTTAATTATAATTTATATTATCATTTAAAATATTAATGTCAATAAATTACTTATTTAAAATTATATAGTATTATTTTATAATTCAATATGTCCATCATGCATTGCAATAGATGCACTAAAGGTGTCTGTCTGGCTGATCATCTTAACCAGGGCTTACTTTTGGGCTTATCTAGAAAAAAATCATGCTAAGACTTACTTTCCAATTAGGTCGTATTTTCAGGGAAATGTGGTATCTGTGTATTTCAGGTGAGTTTATGGTTGTGTTGTTTATATTTTCATATTAGTCTTCAGTTGTCTAAAGGATTAGGGGATTATTTCCCCCAATGTTTTATTATGAAAATGTTAAAACATATAGAAAAGTTGAAAGACTATAACAAAAAAACCCAATACCTATTACCGACATTCCACAATTAACATGCTTCATCTAGTCATCTATTTGTTCCTCTTTCCAGTCCTTTAAGTTTTGTTCATTTCAAGGTAAGCTGCACACATCAGTATATTTCATCCTCAAATACTTCAGCATATATAACATTAATTAGAGTTCAATACTTATTTAAAAATTTTTTTTTTTAGGTAAAACTTATGATGCGATGTACAAATCTTAAGGTCATTTGGCTGACTAGTTTTGACAAGTATGTACACCTTTGTAACCAAAGTATCTTTCAACATGTACATGATCAGCATACTCAGAAATCCCCTCACACCTCTTCCAAGTCAATTTCCATCCCCGAACTAAGGCAGCCACAATTGTGATTTTTTCCACTGTAGTCTAAGAATTCATATAAATGGAATTAATCAGTATGTGACTCTGTTGTAAAGCATCTCAGCATGTTTTCAAGATTCATCCCTGTTGTATCATTAGTTAGTTCCTTTTTATTTTAGAACTATCCCAATATAAGAATATACTGCAGTTTTAAAATCTAGCTTCCTATTAATAAACATGTGGCTGGTTCCTTTTTATTTCTGAGAAATCTCATGATATAAGAATATACTGCAGTTTTAAAATCTACTTTCCCATTAACAAACATATGGGTTTTTCCATTTTTGGTTCTTAAAAATTAAAGTCACCATGAACATTCCCATACCTAAAAAAAGTGATTAAAAGATTACTGCCCCATAGTTGCATTTCACTTATGATACATTACCTTATATTCCTTATGAGATACTAATTATCTATTTGTAAGGAAAGTTCTTGGAACATAATTTAAACATGTGAGTTAGTATATTTAATCATAAGGGATGAGGAGGTGTAGAGTCCCATCCTGTTACAGGTTAAACTGCTTGCAACCTTTTTGAAACTATGCAGACTTAAGAGATGAAAATAACTTCTATTATTTATTTATTGCTCTTCTTTGCCATATAGCTGATATATACTTGCTCATATTGGTTCTATTCATTCCAGGAAGGATGGATCAAGGTTACACAGATTCTAGTGAACTAAGTATTTGTGAAATTAATTTTGCCAATTCCTATCACCCTAAGAATTCTCTCTTCTATCTCCCAAAGGATTTATGAAAGATCCTTGCATCTGCCTGCAAGGCAGGCAAACCTGGTGGTTGCAGGCTGAGGACTGTACGTGGCTACTGAGACTTCCTGCTGCCCTCCTGTGGCTCTTCTTTTGCTCTTTTATAAGGAGGACAAAGTACTTTCCATAATAAGGCTGAGTTGTTTAATAAAAGCTCAAATTCAAACTTAGAACACTGAAAAAAAAAACCCATATATATCTGGCCAATTACCTAACTACATTTCTTTGGCTATAAAATTTAAATAATAATCGTGCAGAAAATGTTTAAGAACCTTGTAAACCCAGAGGTAGACTCAGCACTAAAAATCGACTTAACTCCTGTACGTTCATCTTCTAAGCCAGGTTCTATTCCAGACCTCCTTGCTAATAATCTGCACAACTGTCCATCAGAAGCAATGTCCTCTCTGACACTCCCATTCCCCCTCACTTTCACAGCCAACCCGACATCATCAACTTTAACTTCCTAGACTCAGCTCATATCCACCCACCTCTCCGGATTTACTGCCTCTCTCTCGTTTAAGCTCATTCCTCTCAGGGGGCCTACAACCAGTTTTCCCCACTACTTTGCTGTGAAGACATCCAGGCTCTCTTCTTCAGCTTAAAACTGCCCAGAGGTTAATACCTACACCTTCACCAGGCCAAAGCATCCTCTTCCTCACCTCTCCACATTGGCCTTCCAGTTTCTTCTCTTTCACTTGGCTTAAGATACAACACATTATTGCCTCTGCTCTGTCTCAAGGAATTCCTTTTATTACTATACTTCTCAAACTAAGGCAGATCGCCGCCCGGCCCCGTGTCTGTTGAGCTCAACATGAAATGATTCCATAGTCCTGTTTATCCTTCCCTTATAGCACTTATCACAATTATCACTTTGTGATTATTTTATTATTGCTGTTCCTCACTGTGAAGCCGCGAAGAGATGTGATTTATTCATTACCGTTTATCCCAGCACAAAAACAGTAGTTGGTTGTCCATATTCTCCTATCCACATTCTATTTTTCTTAGACTGACGTCTTTCATAACATTTGGTACTTGGAACTGTGGCTTCTCAGTAAGAAACCCTATTTTACTTCTTTCAGGAATCTTAGGCCATGAAACCTAAGTGATAAATGGAGGAAAAGGAGTTCCAGTTTCTTCACGACCTTCCCCACTAAGGCTTCCTCCAGCTGCAGCTGGCAGCAAGCAAAAGCATTTGCCAGACTTTCCCGAGCGGGTACGGTTGCCCTCAGCACTGAGGATCTCTCAGCGGCTTCCAAGGCCCCAGGGGCAGAGATCGCTTCCGCGAGGACCTGAGCCAACACCGCTCAGCCCGTGGTTCCGCCCCCGCGCCTCCTCGGAAGGGACACGGGGACGCACTGCGTGAGTGCGTGCGCTGCGTGCGTGTAGGTGGGGTCGGTATGGGGGGGGGTGCAGAAAGAAGAGAACCCTGTAGGACCAGAGTCGGCTTTAGGTCTCCAGGCAGTGAGAAGCTAGTATGGCGACCCGGGACGGAAATCGGCTTTACGGTCTGGCCGAACCCTGTCTCGCAGCAGGATCTGGGATGCCTCGCTACTCCCCGCCCGGCGGGACGGCGTAGTCCTGACTCTCCAAGGACGCGCACTGCTGCCTTCTCCGTAGGCTAACCCCTTCATACCACATCTCCCGCTGCCAGTCCCCCTCATTGCCCCGTTCCCCTCACCTTTAACATTAGCTGCTGGGGGGCAGGCGAACTGTGTCTGGCAGAAGAAAATGGTGAACGCGTTAGGCAGCAGGGCCCCTTCGCTTTCCGTAGTGGGCGGTGCTTCAGGCCTGGACTTTTAAAGGAAAGGTGACGTAGAGAGCGGTACCTTTCAGCAAGCAGAATAAACTCCCCCGAGAAAAAATGCAGGCATGGGGAAATAACCTGATTTCTGCCGTTCCAAAAGTGAGCATATGTCGAATTTTTGCGGCAATCAGAGCGTCACTTCGACCAGTTATACTAATAGCAATCTTTTTATTTAATAAAATATTATTTATAAATTTCTGTTGCAAACATTGTGAGTTAGGAAGCATTGTTCCCAACTTACAGGTTCCCGACCACGCCGGGAGACATGGTGATGAATCTGGGGCGAGTCATATTCAGGTGCTCTTAGAATTGGAAGTTCTAACAGGTTATCGACCCGGAATTATTAACGGACTTCCCAGAGTCAGAACAGCCAGCCCTGACCCCAGGGTGTAGTCGGCTGCCCATGTCTTTCCACTGCCGCCTCTTGGGCCCACCCATTGCCATCAGGCTGCCGACTGCCAACCCCTCTGTTGGTGTAGTGTCACCCACCTGCACTTCTCTGTTCTTCAGTAGGAAATTTCTCAGTGGTACAGTGAGAATCTGCAGACTGGCCTTGGTGAAGCTACCCTATGGAGAAATCTTTATATTCCGCCTACAAAGAGAAACTGTAACATTTACTGGCTATTTGGAGTCCAATTAAAACACGTTGTCTTACTTAATTCTCATCAAATAACTCCTTGAATCAGGTATTACCTCTTTATTCGTTTATTTATAAAAAAGCTAAATCAGCCTTAAGTACTCGAGAGCAAAGACCTAGTCTCCTCTTCCTCATCAGATAACAGAATCTGGCAAGTTAGGCTCATAATTGATGATGTGATAACCCCCGAAGCATCTCTTCTGTGTGACTCCAAAGTCCAGTGTTAGTGTCTGCATGTTGGCCTTTCCAAGTTAAATGAAGCATTCGAGATTCATTTTATTCTATCATAGTTCTTTCGTAATACCAGAATATAACAGTAAATATAGGAATAGAGTGAGTAGCACAATGCCTTGGGAAATGGTGCTTCAACTGTTATAAGTGCCCACATTTATGATAACATTTACTAATGTGCCAGACACTTAAGTGTGCAAGCACTTAATATATCAAGTTAATTTAATCCTCAGGGTAACCTCATGAACTAATTACCAGTATTAGCCGTTTCACAGATGAAGGAACGGAAACATGAAGAAATTGAGTGATTTGTTGAAGTTCATACAATTGGCAAAATCAAGAATTGAAAGGAAAGGAGGGAAGAAAAGAAAAAGAACAAGAACCCAGGCAGTCTTGTGCCAGAGTTGGTGCTCACTAATGTTCCTTATGCTGCATACTAAAGTAGTGACTGAAAAGGTGGGGTAACAAATCCATGAAAATATTAAGTGAAATATGTAAAGGAATTGAAGCATTTAAATATCCAAACCAGGGACTTTCAATTTGATAAGATTATGATTTGAAGAAATTCACACTACGTAGTCACTGGTAACTGAAGCTGCCTCACAGCCTATTTATAACACTTCCTGAAGGCTCACGTGTCCAGAGTAGGTGATTTGTGCAGCTGTCCACCTGTCACTGTCAGATGTCTCCAGCACCTACCAGATGGTGGTTTGATGTTCCTGGGAGGAGACAAGCAGAAAGTGGTGGATATTACAGACATACCTTCAGATGGAGAGAACCCATTTGTCATGTCTTGAACTCTGCTCTAACCTCCAGCTGAAACGAGACATGGCTGCTTTTAAATCCTCATTAAACGCTTTGAGCTCAGCTTGGTGGTGGCAGATTTTGAAGACCCCTGAAAAAAAAGATAATGCATAAAGTGGGCAACTGCCTCTTCCAGGACCCTTCCTACATTTATGGCCTCTATTTGCTAAATAATACTTTCTTTTTCAGGGAAATAATTACTGTACCGCAAATCTGTAAACTACCTGATACATAGTGTGCATAGAAGGAAACCCTTAGACATACATAGAGCTTTCCCAGCTGTCATTGTTTCTACCCATAATGTACACACAAACACACACAAAGCATAACTCAGTAAGACTCAAGTCCTAGTGGCTCTAAAACTTCTACATTTTCCACCACATGGTAATTTCCATAATAAGTCCATCAACTTTCTCAGTGTTTTACTCTAGTGAAGGATCAATGGAAATATTCTATCCCTCCCTTGCCTGGCTTTCAAAGTTCTTTCTCTATCCACCAATCCAGAAGGAAGTTTCCAAAATGGAGAGGCATGGAAGATTCAATTACTTAGCCTAAGGCCCTTGAGGTATATAATACATCAGTCCCACAAAGGAATTATTGTATGGGTGAAGTCTTTATAAAAGTTTTAACACTAGGCTGTGTCTTCATGATGTCACAATGGCTGTAACAATTTTAAGCAAGTTTTATACTAGTAAAAATAAGGGACTTACTGTGAAGTCACATGACGCTATACAGCCTTTGGGGGTTCACATATTCAGCAGACTCTTCAACAAGTAGTTGTTCACAGATTACAGTTAGTTTGTACAATTCTCCCCCAAGATTATTGTCTTTTTATGAGGACAGTTTCATTAAAATAGGGAAATTGAAGTATCTTATGTGTGCGAGCCTAAGTAATGCCAACTAAATCTAGCTGAGATGGGAGCAACTCTTTTGTTATAGTGCCAGTTTATTGCTGAGAGAATCCATGCTCTCCTTAGCTTTTGTTAGGAAGATATGGAAAGCAAGATTTACAGAGGGCTTTGGCAGAGTGTTGAGAAACTCATTCAAAATTTCCTAAAGATGTTCTCAGCCCAATACTGTGTATCTGTTATCATAAACCATTAACATAAACTTTGGTCACTTTTGAAACACTTAATGAAATTCCCATTTCCTTATAGGACATGATGTAAAACAATAAAGAGTTAGGACACGAAACCTTACAAGACCTTCAGTGTTTACTACTGTGAAAATCAAAGTACAACAGGACCAAGTTATCAGCCAGCATATTATGTTTAAAATACAACCCAATACTGTTTTTAAATGCCCATATGAGATCTTCTAGTTACTTGCTATTTAAGGAAGGCAGGACTGACAACAAATATAATGTTAGTGATAGAGCACATTTGTACGTACTGTTTCCTATCTTCGAGGCAAATGGAATTAAAGGCGAACTCTTCCATTTTGGAAAGTTGCTCGACTGTGGAGTTTTCCATGTTTACTGTATGGGGAAGAGTTACCACTGTTCATTGGAGTCATTGTTTTGCTGCTTTGCCTCCTGGAAGTTGCTAGGTTCCGCTGCAAAGATTTTAAAGGCTTCTTTGTTGGCAGCCTAGGATGCATCCATGACCTTACCAAAGTGGAAGTGAAAGCTCTGTTTTTCTTCTTTTTCTTTTTCTTTTTTTTGGCAACAGTAAATCTACTAATTTTACAGTCAGTTGAACAGCAATAGATTAATTTGTGTAAAGTCTGCATTCACAAAGGAAACCTGAACTTCAGCGGCTTGAATGCCTGAAACTACAGTGTGATTTTTGAAGAGTAGACACTCTTACAACTTGCTCTAGAAAGATGTGGGCAGGCCACTGTCACCTGCTTCTTAGCACAGGTGCTGACCCCTCGGTCGATGAGGGGCCTCCTGACAGGATAGCAGGAAGTCTGGGCCTTTGTTTGTGACAGAGGAGCCTTTTCCAATGCTAGGGCCAGTTTTCTCCAGCAGCCTCATGAAGCAGAAGAAAGGAGAGGTGAAGGTCACCACCAGGGTCACAGTGGGTTAAATTTAGTTAACATCAGAGGTTATAGCTTTTAACAAGAGCTTCAAGAAAACTTCTTCGAATATACAATTTGTTTCTTCTTTGTCCACCATTATTTTTTTTTTTTACTCTATTGACAGTAACAACAACGTTTTTAGATGCTAGAGGTTTTCATCCTTTTAGAGAATAAAGAACTGGGTTCTTAAAAAGAGATGCAGGTGGAGGGCTTTATAAAGCTTCCATGATTTTCAAATTGGGAGCTTTAAAATAGGCTCCCTGCTTGGCTCAGTCAAAAATAATCTGTGAGGGATGTTGAAAAAAATCCCCATTAGAAATGGAGGGATGCTTTAGCAGTCAGATGCAGAGGCCCAAACTTCTAGAAGATTCTTTGTGTGTATTTTTCTGTCAGCCATCCTCATATAGATTTCCCAGTTGTTACTCAGAATTACCAAGGAGGCCTTGTCTGAAGTTTCCATGGGTGTATTTCTTTAAATTTAGAGCATAATCCTGGGCAGAATGAGTTACTGTATTTCTACAGAAGCAAAAAGATGACTAAGAGTTCTGAACATATCTTTTTTACTCTGTTTTATAATCCAGTCACTCCACATTTTCTGTTTACAGGCTGAATTGTTATGGAAATTGATCTTTCAGAAGAGTCAGGTACAACCCAGCCTTTTAACT